CAACTTATTGATCGACATTCAGCACTACAAACGTCGCATAAGGAAGATTCCGACCGCATTCCATTCACTCTCACGTTTCACCCTCACAACCACTCAGTTAAATCCATCATTCTTAAAAACTTTAAATTACTTCAAAACGATCCAGAGACAAGCACTATCTTTTCGCAGCCTCCGCTCATTTCATTCAAACGCGACAAAAACATAGGCAATTTTTTGGTCAGAAGTTCTTTTCAGACTAATGACCAACCAGGCACTTTTAAATGCGCTCGTGCACGATGCAAAACGTGTCCTTTCATTCACAACACTGATAAAATATCGGGACCTAAACGATCCATTAAGATCACCGATCACTTCACGTGCACCTCCGCCAATGTAATCTATTGCATAACTTGCACTTATTGCAAAAAGATATACATCGGCGAAACAGGCAGAAGACTAGGTGACCGATTCCGAGAACACCTTCGAGACGTGGAAAGGAATGACAAGGACACATCGAAACCAGTCGCTAGACATTTTAATTTACCTAATCATTCTAAGCAACATATGGCAATCTGCGGTCTTTCCTTACACTTAGGTAGCACGGAAAGCCGTAAAACTCTTGAACAAAAGCTCATCTTTCAAACCGGCAGTCTAAATCCCACAGGGATCAACGAACGCTTTTCATTCCACTAATTTATTCGTGTTTTTCTCGTTGCCATGTTCCCACCAATAACGTAGCTCCATTTTCTGCCTTTAAAAGCACACACAACCCACAATTCCTCTATTCGCTCCAACGAAGGGCTAACGCTCGAAACGTCAGCTTTTGTAATCGTTACGGTGGCCAATTTACTATTTCAACTTTGTTGATATATCCAAATTACTTCGTTACCCCCACCGACGAAGCCCCAAACAGTTTCTTTCGAAACTATCAGCCTTTATCAACTTAAGGGAGAGTCCGCGAGATAACCAATTTGGCGTCTGGCTCTCCACGTTTCACTTTATTAGTTTTTGGCTTACCCTCCTTCGAAATAGCATTTTCCCCCTAAGAAAAGCATTGCAAGTAAATTAATGTATGGTCAAGTCATGTTAGAGATGTCAGCAATCGTCGAAACAAAGGTTTAACAGCTGTTTATGTTTTTCGTTACGTTTAGGTCGTCAGAAATGAGACAGGAAACTGTTTGGAGATAATGCACCCCAAGAGCTGGGGCGTAGAGGAGTTCATTGGTCACTACGCGCAAGTCAGACTTGTAGATGAGAGTTCTGGTGGTTATGGTCACATCAACTTTGATGACCTTAAAGGAGATATCATTTGTCCTCACGATTTAGAAGAGAAAAACTGAAGAGAAAGCGGCTTTTAAAACTAACATATCAAGTCAAGACACCTCGAAAGTACGGTGAAACAGCTTTTGACGTAGCATAGTACCTGTTTTGTGCTATCGTAGATGGGCAAAATCACTGTTTTTTTTTTTTTTTGTCGAAAATCCGCATATGAAACAGTTTTATGCACGTGACTGAGAAGGCCTTAACCATATAATACAATCGTTAGGTCGGTTTAATGCGATGATGAGGATAGTCGATTGCTTTAGATGCTAGCAATCGCATCATATTTACTTTTCTTAATATTTGCTTTACAAAATCCATATCTGTAAAAACTCTTAGTAGATTCTGTTCGGGATTATATATTGAAATAATTTTTGAGTAACTGCTTCCAAACAGGTTCCAGAATGGAGGAATATTGATGTTTTATTTGACTCTTGCAATGCTTAATCTTTAGTTATTATACAGAAGGACTTTAAAATTTATTAATACATATTATTTAGCGTAATAAACGTTCTCGCGCACAGAGATATCCAATAATTCTCTTTTGATATAAATATCACTTTACGTTGCGGACAAAATAGTTTGGTTTTAACCCTTAAATACCACATTAAACTACCGCCAAACCCAAGGTCGTCTACAGAAAATAAAATGTTTCCAAGGCTCCTTCAACTAGGCAAACACAAACACTTGACTGATCATAAATCCCACAAATTCACTTTCGGTTTTAAAGCAAATCAAGTGATGAAGCCTGAGCTCTTCCCTATAAAATCTTACAGTAAGTAGTGAATTGTATTGATGTAAGAGGCTAGTTGTGGCAGGTTGAAGATTTTTTGCGTAACTGTTGACGTTTGTGTAGAAGTAAGAAGTTTGCAAAGGTTTTTGATAATTCTTCTTTGCTCGAAAAGTCACTTTGAATTGAAAGTTTATATGTTTGCACGAATAAAGGCAGTTGTTCACCTCCAATGAATAATAAAGTGCCAAAAAATATTTTTAAGCTATGTTTAATCTCTTGGTGCTTGATAGAGAGGAGATTAAATAACGTTTGTTTGGAAAATTTTAATGTAGCCTCGTTAATGCTTATAATAAGTGAATGAAGCACTCGATTTGAAAAGCCACAGTGATGGGCTTGCAAAAGGAAGACAGTTGCAAGAAATACGAACAAAACGTTTTTGCTCAAATATATTTGGTTAACCAGCACAAGCAGGTTGGGAAAGAAAGATGTCTATCACCCTTTCTGTGACTCGATCTCCCAGGGAAACGCCAATTATTAGACATCCTTACAAGTAAACAGTGTACTCGGTTATTCATGCATTTATGTGTGTCTATCTGGGTGTAATCAGACGCTAATTCAAAGTAGAGTTTATTATTTCCTCGAAAATATTCATAATCGTGGGAATTATGACCATTTAGTATAGTGGTACATGAGAAAAACGAAAAATTTTAGAGGTCTGTTGACCATTTTTGCTTGAGCTCAAGTTATGCATTACTTATTTGTGATCTGAATTCCACCTTTTCTTAAAGTAGCTCTATATTTAGATTTATACGTGTGCACACCACCTGAATGCAAAATTTTCAAAGTCAAAACAAAAGAAAACCGTCAGACTCGTTGATGAGAAGAGCTGTTGTTGGGATCACATCAACTTTGATGACCTTAAAGGAGACATCATTTGTCCTCACGATTTAGACAAGAAAAACAGAAGACACAGCGGCTTTGGTAAGTAGCTTAAGTTAGTAAACCAGCTTTCCAGAGTCAGTCGTTGAAAATAGTCAGTGCTGTAGGTTAGGCATTGCGCAGGGTCCCAGTCAATGTTGTGGTTGGTAAGTCGATGGTTTTCAGCAATGTGATTGCTGACATAACCTTTCCTCGTCGCCCGTCTGTGTTCAGTCAGTCTTGTTGTGAGGTTTCTGCCAGTCTCACCGATGTAGGAGGCTTGGCAGTCGGAACAATTGATCTTATAAATCGTTCCCTGTCTGTTCCTCGGTTCGTCTTTGTCTTTAACGTTGGTTAGTAACTGACGTAGTGTGGTGATGGGTTTGTGGGCGACGCGGATATTGAAGGGTAGTAAGATGCGCGAGATGTTTTCAGACATGCCTTTTATGTACGGTATGGTTGCTGTAGTCGTAGGGGTTGCGGTGTCGTTTGTTTCGGTAGTGGTAGTGGGTCGGTGAGTGTTTCGTCGGATGAAGTCGTTGTTGTAGTTGTTCTTCGTAAAAACACGGTGAAGGTATTTGTTCTCGTCGGATAAGCTGTCTTTCATTTAATTCAGCTTCAATGCCAAGTTCCACAACAAAAATGCAGTGTTGTCTCCTCTGCTGAAGAAACCGTCCCCAGANCTTCACATGTTACCCCCGGGTTCAAGCCATTTACTGCAGTAGTATGTTATGTAGTATGTAACCGCCTCCCAGTTAGCTCAATGGATAGAGCGCTGGACTGTTGTGCGGGGGGTCGAGGATTCGAGCCCCGGCCGGAGCAATACTCAAGGTCTTAAAACAAGTGAGAAGAATATGCTACCTTTCTTCAACGTAAAAAAATGGTTAGATATTCTAGTCTTCTCGGATAGGGAAGAATAAATGAAGGTCCTGTCTCCTGCAGGGTTAGGGGTAGGAGACGTTAATTTCCCACACACGAGATCACTGTGTGATGGGTGTCCTCCCCTGGGGTGGTTGCTGGGTGGGAGCCGGCCATGAAAAGCCCCCATGGGGAGTGGTCAATTAATATATGTATGTATGTTATAAGAGGTTCTTTCATATTAGAATATAGATTCTCCCTCATTGTTCTTAACCTCGAAACTTCATCAGGTAATTTCTCGAAAGATTTTTAGAACTAGTGGAGAGTCTTACAATTATAGGTTTATTGCGGTTGGAGATCTCCTCTTTGTAAGAAAAATACTTAAGCTTAAAGTTGGAAAATTCTTAAAACTACTTTTGTAAAATTTTCAAAGGGATAAGTGCCTAGCAGTAGCTAGTTAGATCAACGAAAAGTGATTATGAAAATGACTGGCGTGGGTAAAAAAGGCCTTTTACAAATGTGGTGGAGGAGAACGATGAAGAACAAATGGTGTTTTAGTCTACAGAGGGAGAAATGAACTCGTGATTTGCAGAATGAAGTAAATCTGATTAGAGCGCCTCTAAAAACTTACATAGAAAACTTTATCCCATCCCATTGTTTGCCTCCTTGTCAGTGTCACATATATATCACAGATGTATTAGGAGCTATTGGCCATATCTTACTTGTACTTCCTAAGTTGCGCAAGCAATATACATATACTTAATTCATTTTCGTAACAGCGGCAACTCTGTAATACTCTTATACCCTTGAATCGAGGAAATACATGATTAGATAAAAATTTAAACATTTTTAACAGAATTTCACCTGCTCCACAAGTAGCTTTATTTTGAGGGGTATATATGGCTGGTTTTGCCTGCCAACTGTATGCAAATGCTTTAAATATTCCATAAAAGAGAGCGACTAGCCAAAAGGGTAAAAAACGTTTTGGTTTTTGTTTTTAGTCATTACGGAAAGCCAAACTCCAAAATAAGGGGTTCACTTTTGGCGGGCTCGTCAAGTTATCATTCACCTGGTAGGATCAATCATTGACAATGATGATAATGATAAAAACATACAAATTGTCTGCATTATCTTCTGATTATTTGATGTTGAATACTGCTATTTCAATACTTTTTGTTTAAAATTTACCTTTAAGCCATGATTAAAGCAGTGAATTTCTGCTTGTTCAGCATTTGAGGCAGGAGAAAGGAATTGAAGTGCACCTCAATGGGGAAAGAATTTTTTTTTCTCCAAGTACGTGATAATTTCTCAGAAAGGTAATTTAACTACAGCGGAAATTCAAACATTGATTTATTGCGTCAGCTAACGATTAAACAAAAAAAAAAAAAGGGGGAAAATATCTTTCGACATGCAGCTGCTCCATGCAAAACAGCACATGTGGAATGTGGGTTGCCTTTCATATGGTAAGAACCTCTTTTTCTTATTATGAAATTATATTCGAGCAACAGTGTTTTTTATCATGCACCGGTGAGCTTTAAATCCTTATAATTATTGTGGTTTAGCCGACAATTGAACAGTGGCTGGGCAAGAGAACAATCAAGAAAAGGGCTTCAAATGCCAATCACTCGGGGTTTTGAAAATTTCTTCGACTCCGTTGATCTGTGCAACAAATTATTTCCCTGAGAAGTGCATAATAAGGTGGAATTGCTCGTATAATAAAGATTTCTATAACTACTCTTGCAAAGGAAATGAGAGCATGATTGCCCTAATTTTAGGATTTTTGCAATTCCCTGGCCTTCCCCATGACAAATGCCATCCTCCATGGCAAATGCCATCCTCTCCAGCCATAAATCAACGATTTCAGTTTTTCAAACGTACACGCTTTGGTAGTTCCTCGAGGTAACATGGAAAATTGATCGATGATTTTTTAGACAATAATTTACCAATCCAACTCCTTTCAAGTCCGTGAAATGTACCGTAGATTTAAAACGTTAGAAGCCTTGAAAATCAAATCATAAAGCAACTTGAACTTCCATTGGAAAGAGGAGAGAAAGTGCTAGTCAGGAATCAGCCAACTTCGAAGCAATGTACGTGAGTAATATCGAAATCACCAAATGGAAAGCGTCACCAGCTTTCACATGAAGACGGCCATGACAAGATGAAGGACGTCATGTTTACATAAAATTTCACATTTCCCCGACTTCTTTCAAAGATGTAAATTTTTTGAGTGAAAGTAAATTCTCTATTCCTTGACGTCCATGGGGTAATTCGTTTTTCCTTGTCATATTACTGATCTGTGGAAACCATGGAGGGACTAGAAATTTTTAAAAATGCTGCAAGGGAACGCAATGCAGATTTACGGTTTTATATAGTTGAAACTGCACGAATTGTATAGAGTCAAACATCTTAACCAATGGAGGTGTTTTTAAAGTGAAATGTTCATTCTTAAGTGTATTTTAATGCACGAAAATAATCGAATGATCTAAAGTTTGATATCGAGTTATGCACAAGTAGCCTTTTATCTCAGATTTGTAACACACAAACGGTAAATGGTGTCACTAAACTCAGAGACTAACCAAAATTCAAGTGCAAAAGAAGGAGCGAGTGGGGGGGACTCGCATTTTCTTTTAAATCTTCTTTTCTTTTTTTAATCGAATAAAGCTGGCCGGGAATTACTACAAGACTAAAACGATCTTACTTTTTTCAGAAAACAGCTCAACTATATAATTGGCAGATACAAGTCCTTCGTTAATCCTTTAATTTCAAAGGGTGACTAGTTTCTAATTTCTTTCCGAAGGTATCGCTACGTTGTTGCCGGACCAAACGCATAAGGAACAGCAAGGAGCAGATACATACTGATGCTGAGTTGTAAAGGGTTAAAAGAAAGCATATCTCATCATTTCGTTGAGTATTCTTAAAATTTTTTTCCTCAGAAAAAATGCAGGGTGACATGATTCGTCTCGTAATCTTCGCTTCAATTCTGGACTACGCATCTGCCAATGGCCAGTGCAGGACAGCGATCAACATTCAAGGTATGAGACTTGAAGGATTCGTGTTTTCAAGGATGTCCGCATCAGCTCCCCATATCTGTGATGTCCGATGCGAACGAGAAATCGCCTGCCAAAGCTATAACTACAACAGGAAGGAGAAGATCTGCGAATTGAACAACCGCACCAAAGAGGCCAGGTCTGGACGTTTACGCTTAGATCCTGCTTGGTTCTATATTAAGCGTTTGAACGAAAGAGGTTTGTAGTCATTTGGGAGTGGAATTTTTTGTTGAGATTTCTTTTATTCTTTCTTGCACAAGCACCCACGAAAGCTGCTGTCTAATTATATCCAAAAAAAGTGAAGAAAGTTTTAACCAGCCTAATAATCCTTCTTTTATTTTTTGAGGTGTTCTTGCAGCTTTAACTAGATCAAAAGTTTTCATCGAAGTGTGTTCGTTGAAGTTTTAAGTTATAAAACCAGCAGTTAATAGCATGATTAAAAAATTCGATTTAGTTTGATTTTGGCTTTTTCCTTCTAATTGTTTTCGTTTATTTTTAATTACTGTAATTGTTTTTTCTTTTTATATCCCGCAGCCTGCAACTTTGACTTTGAAGATGGAATCGGCGGATGGGAAACGACAGGCACAGCTTTCATTTACCAGCCAACATTTGGTGACAATCCCATCGCACGAGGTAGAGAAAGCGCCAAGCTGCAAGGGGACTGGTGGGTAGGTGGAGCTGAGAATCGGCCCAGGAAAGGTTCTCCTCCAGGAGGACAACACCCAGACGGAAGCGACCCACCTCGGGGAACTCTGACTTCTCCTTGTTTCCGTATCGTTGGCAAAAATATCTCGTTTCTCATTGGTGGGGGCTGTAACGTAAGCGTTATTCGGGTGGAGCTTATTGTCAACAACCAGGTGAGTACGATTAGATTATGTAGAAGTAGTTCTTTCCACCTCTTTTAGCTTTGTTTTCTTCGTTTTGTTGTTGCTGTTTTCTTAACTTTTGGCCTTCTTTGGCCTTCACTGCAAATCCTTTAAGATCAAAACTTTGTTTGTGTTCTTTATAGGTGTGGCCTATATGGACTAAAATTAATTTAAGAAGAAGTGATCTTTTCGTCTCGTCCAAAAAAAGCATGAAGATACCGTATATCCTCGAATAAACGTCCATATTCTGATAAGCGACATTTCTTGACTAAGTGCCCATCCCATGGGCCGTAATGTCAAACAACCGCCCCTCTTTTTCCCTCACTCTCTTAAATAGCAAGTATACAAGGAAAACCTATATATTTTACTACTTTATTTGTACATTTTTAAGCTTCGGTTTCACAGTAGCTGAAACAAGATTAATTCCCTGCTTTCACCTTTGAAGCTGCTTGTGTTTTTTGCTAGACCGTCAGAAAAGAGACAGGCAACTGTGAGGAGACAATGCACCGCAAGAGCTGGCACGTGGAAGAATATATTGGTCAAATAGCTCGCGTCAGACTATTGGACGAGACGGCTTGTTGTTGGGGCCACATCAACTTTGATGACCTTAAAGGAGATATTATTTGTCCGCATGATTTAGACAAAGAAAAGTGTGAAGAGGTAGAAAGAGCATGAAGGATCATCGGCTCTTAAAACCTAACTTCCCTCTGGTTGTTCTCCAACGTTTCTGTAGCAAATCCTTTCCAAATAAACCATGGAGATTCGAATCTATTTAATGACGTCACAATTGACTGCGGGGAGCTCAGGGACCGCGTACCTGTAAGATCAATTGTGACGATGTTCATTTTTCGTCGAGCTCCAGTTGAAAGTTATAACAGCGAACCAATCAGGGCTGCTATGTTTCTTTTGGAAGGCGAACAAAAACGAATTAAGCGCCGAGTTAAGATAGCCAAGCATCAGCAGCACCAGGAAAACTTCGTAAGAAATTGGATTCAAAGCACCCAAGGTGACCACCATGCTGAAATACGCGTATGGCTGCCAGCAGAAGAAAATGGCCAAGACGAACATCGAAGTACTCTTGGTTGCTTTGATATTCTTCAAATAGATCTTGTGTCCTTCTTTAGTAGTCTGTTTGGTTGACGGCGAGCTAGCGCCGTTGTTACCCTTGGTTCCATGGTTGCGGGCAATGTGATAAATCAGGATATAAAACAAACATGTGACCAGCAATGGGAGTATACAATTTAAGAGAGAAATGAGCATGAAGTAAACCATAGTGTATGGTATCATACATGCTTCCTGGAAGATCGGCCCTTCAGTTCTATCTCGCCACCCAATGATGGGAAGCAGAGACCATAAAATACAGTAAATCCACACAAGGAAGGGGATTGTTGCAGCTCTTTTCTTGGTCATGAAATGTGAACGTCGAAACCGAGCGAGAGGACCACGAAGGGTATTGTATCGATCCATGCTGATGACTAAAAGCGTAAAAACCGAGCTAGTTAAAGTGATGAGGTACATTGTAAGCCAAGTTAGGCAGAAGGCTTCTCCGTGTTTCCACAGTCCATGTCGAAAAAGCGATTCGATATCAAATGGCACGACAAGGGTTACTGTGAGAAGGTCCGAGATGGCCAAAAACAACAACAACAAGAGGTTTGTAGGATTGTCGCGGAGTTTTCTGTCCGTGACGATAGCGTAACAGACAGAGAAGTTGCCTACGATAGCTACTAGTGTGATAACAATGTAGCAAGTGGCAACTGGATACAAAAAGGTGGGTTCCAATTCAAATGGAGTCGCCTTATTCCTGGAATTGTTTATTATCCGCACTGCTCGGCTCTATCTACTTCAAACTTTCCTTGATGATTTTTTGCGACCCTCTGCAACTTACATGGGCTGACCTCAACCTGTCTAAGAGGATTGAGGGTTTGGGCAGGCACACAATAATTATACTCGAAAATATACTAATTTACCTAACCGATCTAGCAGGAATTGTCCAAATCAAATCAATCACGAGATTAAATCGAAAATGATGGGAAACGTTTTCTATAGTGCATATTGCCTTCTAAGTAAAAGATGAAATACCCCACTGATATTTCTACCCCTCTAATATTACAAGTATCATCACTCTAGTAAATTGTTTTCGTCACGGACCCTCCTCGACAAGATTGTCTTCAGAACAACCAAAGTCAGGGTCGAATGCTTCAGCCAACTTGTCAAAATCTAGAAATCGAATTGAAGTTTAATTCAAATTGGCAACAGCTTTTACTTCTCATAAATTCTCCGAGCTTATGGTAGAAGAACGGAATAAATTAATTTAGTGAGTTGTATATGAGTAGTATGTTGCAGTTGGCAACTTCACCTTGGCTGATGAGCAGTATTACAATGCCAGCGACAAATAAGAATTTAACACCTTTGTATTGTATAAGGGTCAACAAAAGATAAATATTACAATAATTTACTCATTTAAAATAACCTCCTCATCTGTTTAGTTTTTTATCATCTAATGGAACATCGTCCGTTTTGGGCTTTTCCGTGATTTAACCGAAATGCTAAGATAAAAAAACTACGTCATTTGATATTGACCTGCAAAACGCGATGACAATATGACCGAGTGCGACGTCAATTCTGAAATACTGCCTTAGTAGGTGCTTCTAAAAATCGAAAGTTGAAAATCAAAACCGCTAAAAATTCACCCTTGACGAAGAATTTGTGCCCCGAGGGAAACACCTCAAGGTTACTTAGCAGTGTTCTAAATGTAGTTACTTTCCGTGAGGTGATGTGGAAGGAACATTCGGTTACCAGCTTTTTCACTGAAAAAGAGCCTGAAATAAGTAACTTGTGATGAATTAGGTTAGATAAGGTATTTTAATTACAATTACCACAATTAATATAATGTCATGCATTAACCCGTTTTGATATTCGAATACGTATTCCTTTGTGACTACCTGAGGCTGAAACATATTCAAAAACAATCAGTTTGTCCTTTAGAAAGGTTGGTAAGACCGAGAAGCATTAATAATGAACAATTCCAACCTTGGAGCGACTCCACTTGATTTAGAACCCACATTTTCGTATCCAGTTGCCACCCGCTCTATACATGGACTGTGGAAACACGGAGAAGCTTTGTGCATAACTTGACATACATTGTATCTTATCACTGTACCTACCTCGGTTTTGACGCGTTTAGCCATCAGTGTGGATCGATCATAGTAACACCCTTCGTGATCCTCTCGCTCGGTTTCGTCGTTAACATTTCATGACCAAGAAGAGAGCTGTAACAAAATTAATCTCCCTTCTTGTGTGGGCTCAGGGAGGCGCGGTGGCCTCATGGTTGGTGCGCTCGACTCCAGATCGAGTGGTCCGGGTTCGAGCCCCAGCCGGGACATCGTGTTGCGTTCTAAGGCAAGACACTTTACTCTCAGAGTGCCTCTCTCTACCCAGGTGTTTAAATGGGTACCGGAAAATTAATGCTGGGGATAACCCTGCGATGGACTGGCATCCCGTCAAGGGGGAAGTACAAATACTCCTAGTGGCTTCATGCTACAGAAACCGGAATTAAGCACCGGCCTGATGGGCTACTAGGCTCGTAAACAGACTTTACCTTTACCTTGTGTGGGTTTATTGCATTTTATGGTCTCTGCTTCCCATCCTTGGGTGGCGAGATAGAACTGAAGAGCCGATCTTCGAGGGAGCATGTATGATACTATACACTAAGGTTTACTCCATGCTCAGTTCTCATACTCCAATTGCTGGTCATTTGTTTGTTTTATATCCTGATTTATCGCATCGCCCGTAAGCATGGGCTGAAGGTGAGCAACAGTGGTGGCCTGCCGTCAACCAAAAAGCCTACTACAGAAGAAAACAAGATGTACTTGAAGAACATAAAAGCAGCCAAGACTACTTCCATGTTCGTCGTGGCCATTTGCTTCTGCTGACAGCTATTCTCGTGTTTCAGCACTGTCACAACTCGATCGGTTAGAGGCCATATTCTTACGAACTTTCTATGGTACTGTTTATGCTACGCTACCTTAACTCAGCGCTAAATCCGTTTTTGTTCGCCTTCCGAAACAAGCACTTTAAATCTGTATTTTCAAAGCTGTGTACATCCCCAGAACTTGTGTAGTCCGTATGCTTGCCGCGGCTCGACTATCTCAGTGTTGTATCTTTGTTTTCTTGAGCGAAATGTGTTCCAGAAAGGCTTAAGAATTCTGTGTTCATTGTGAGTATTTCTGTTACAGCTGGGCAGTCTTCGAAAGCAAAGGTGAAGACAAATGTAGTATCTAATGCAATAAATTGTGAATTTCGACAATACCCCAGACCGTGTATCTATTGAAAGTTTTTTTTATCCCAAATTCCAGAATCAGTCTGATTTCAAGTTCGAATTGTACACCTGGGTCTGGAGCAATAGTGTTTGTTTTGGGTTTTTGAAGAACGAAATCTCTTCTAACATAAGGTTAACTGCACATCAAAATAAATAAAGACATAGATATGAGAACTGTACCGCGCGAGATTGACTCTGACGAGTGTTGACGCAAGTAAAGAATCGCCAATACTCCCTGAAAATTACAGCTAAAAAAAACTACTAGATATCGAACTTTGCAGGAAATTTATACAAGTTGGCAGATATGCACTGTAAGCTTTCCGTCACAATCACACAATGTTGCATCAAGCAAGCTGATAATAAGTTTAAAGGCTGATAGTTTCTAAAGAAACTGTTAGGGGCTGCGTCGGTGGGAGTAACGAAATAATTTGGATATATCAACAAAGTTGAAATGGTAAATTGGCCACCGTAACGATTACAAAAGCTGACGTTTCGAGCGTTAGCCCTTCGTCGGAGCGAATAGAGGAATTGTGGGTTATGTGTGCTTTTAAAGGCAGAAAATGGAGCTACGTTATTGGTGGGAACATGGCAACGAGAAAAACACGAATAAATTAGTGGAATGAAAAGCGTTCGTTGATCCCTGTGGGATTTAGACTGCCGGTTTGAAAGATGAGCTTTTGTTCAAGATTTTTACGGCTTTCCGTGTTACCTAAGTGTAAGGAAAGACCGCAGATTGCCATATGTTGCTTAGAATGATTAGGTAAATTAAAATGTCTAGCNAAATGAATAAAGGCTGATAGTTTCTAAAGAAACTGTTAGGGGCTGCGTCGGTGGGAGTAACGAAATAATTTGGATATATCAACAAAGTTGAAATGGTAAATTGGCCACCGTAACGATTACAAAAGCTGACGTTTCGAGCGTTAGCCCTTCGTCGGAGCGAATAGAGGAATTGTGGGTTGTGTGTGCTTTTAAAGGCAGAAAATGGAGCTACGTTATTGGTGGGAACATGGCAACGAGAAAAACACGAATAAATTAGTGGAATGAAAAGCGTTCGTTGATCCCTGTGGGATTTAGACTGCCGGTTTGAAAGATGAGCTTTTGTTCAAGATTTTTACGGCTTTCCGTGTTACCTAAGTGTAAGGAAAGACCGCAGATTGCCATATGTTACCATATGGCAATCTGCGGTCTTTCCTTTGTAGTGATGCAGGAAAACCAGCCTGGACAGCTCAACAGATTCACGGCATAATGAACATTCAGACTAGAAACAAAGAATAAATAAAGAAAAGAAATTCAAGCAGGAGTTTTCTTTGCTTCTTCTTCTTTCGACTTCTTGTCCAGTATATTACTTGGCATCTTCAAAGGTTTCAGTCACGTTTCCCGGCCACAAGCGGCTGCCGATGGTGTCATGCGCAGCTACGCCATAAGGCGAAACCAAAACACCAGAGCCAGTTCGCTGGCTCAACAGACGGCAGTGAATAGTCTTATTGGCAGCGGTAGACCGACCGCGTTCGGATTTGAATGAAACCCCTATATTTTCATTGTCAGGTGGATCAAACCAGTGG